AGATGCTGAATTTGGGCATAATTGAGTGCAGTTGAGGATTCATGTTTGTCAGGACAGGTAACCCAGATTTCTTGCTTTTCGATTTTGCTCACCTACATCTCCCCACTGGGGTCAGATCCTTGCTGGAGTAAGAGAAGGACTTTCCTTCTGTAACCCAAATTTTGTCTGGGCTTGTGCAGCATCATTTGCAGGTGCTGTGCCTGGCCAGTGCAGAGCCACAGAGACCGTGTGTCCTGCCACATCCTGCCATGTGAAATGGCTGGGAGGCAAATGTTCCTCCCCAAATAGAAATCCACCTCTGGAAGCTTGAAAGACTGGAGATGCGCTTTAATTGCTGTTAGAGGAGAGCTTTGGTTTGTGCCTTCAGGCTGCAAACTCTTCATCAAGAAACTGAAATGGCAGATCAGGGGCTGCTGCTAGCAAGCAATGCTAGAGCTGTGCTGCCAGATGCTCACTCCCTTACTGAGATCTGAGTACGTGCTTTGGAGGCAGAGGGCAAGCAACATGAAAACCCATGTGTCCTGTGAGACAGGCTGCCTGCCCTGGCTCTGTGTCTCGTGTGGCTGCGTGCTGTGCTGCTGAACAGAGCAGAGCAGCTGCCTTCAAATTACAGTGAAGCTACAAGATCCATGAATTGACAGATTAAAACATTGCAAGAGGTGTTGGACATGGCCTGGCCAGGATTTGTTCTTCTCCTTTCCCGAGGACACGCTGAGCTGCTCCTGCAGTAGTTTGGAGATGGGCAAGGGAAGAAGGGACTGAAGGATGGGCATCTGAATAGTGACTGCTTTACTGTGTCCTGAGCCTGGCTGTGCTTGGTCACTGCTGATCACCAGCAAGTTGTTGCTGCCCTTGGAGCTGGATCTAATGTCAGAATAGGGAATTCAGTATAGAAACATGAATCAAAGTTGATAGGCCTTAGGCTTAAGCAGTTTGGAGAGTGACTGCTTGGGGCAGTGGATTCAAAAGCAGGAGAACAGTGGTGGTGCTTCTACTGTGGGTGCTCTGCCCTGTTCAGCTATTCACTAAAGCTGTGGGTTGCTTGAGGGCTGGGGACTGCTCAACTGAAGGTGCTGGGATCAGGCACTGCCTTGAAAGGATGCAGAGTTCCCAGCGGTGTTGTGATGAGCTTAACCCAGAGCCTCTACCCTCTCTCTGTTCTCCATCAGCCTTGTTTGTTCAGGACTCCATTGTGGTTTTATCCCAGTTTTTGCAGCCCGACACAGTATGATTTTTTTTCTTTTAATTCCATTTAAGTTCCCACTTTGCATCTTCACTGGCAGCAGCTCGATGAAGGTATGCTTTTCACAGCCTACTTCTTGTGCTTGTGTGGGGCTTGTCAGGGCTTACTTGGAGCTGGGGCTTTGACAGCCTCCTCTCATCCCGCACCCCAAGCTGCAGGCGAGCGGGCAGGCTGTAGGAAGTGTAGCGGGGCAGAGTGCCCTGGATTTGGCAAGGAAGCACGACCTGCCTCCGCGGTGAGCAGTTCGGGGTGAAATGCTGCAGCCAGTCTGCAGGGCTTGGTGTGGAGCAGTGGCTGGCTGCTTGACCCTGTGCCTTGGAGTGTCTCACTCCACGAAACAAACCGAAAAACCCAAATACAAAATCTGCCTTGTAAAGAGGTGTGAGAGCCACAAGACACGGGACCCAACTGCTGCACGCCCTCGCTTACCTCTGCGCGTGACATCTGAGCTCGCTGTACTCGGGTGCAAGTAAGTCCTGCCTTCACGGAGTTAATTTTAAATGCTAGCAGGTTTGTGAGTTCCACGTCCTAATTAGGTTGCCAAAAAGCATCGCTAATGTGTTTAGATATGTTGTTGCCTTTTTTTGCCCTCTGGCTTCTCTTTATTATCAGACACAGTAAACAGCGGCCTGGTTGGCTGCCTCGGCATCGCTTGCTGTTTATAGGCCTCCCACCATATCCTCTTGCTGCTGTTTCCGGACCGAAGCTGTTGGCTGTGGGTGGTTAACACTTCCATTCAAATGAGCTGTGCCAATTTATAGCCAGCCCAGGCGCTGGAAGATTAAAGAGAATTTTTTATGGGGAAGGTTCGCACTGTGCCCTTGGAGTGACCTTTGAGGAGTGTCTTAATCTCTCTGGGAACCACTGGCATGTCGCAGAGGCACCACAGCAAGGATCGTTTGAGGCTGGAGAGCTTGGAACAGCTGCCTCTGGGCCCCAGTCTTGCTTTCCCCTGCTCCCTCAGCTAGTCTTGCCTTCCTTCTGCTGTTTTCCCCCTGCCCCTAACCAGGTGTGTGGATCAGCAGGAGAGGAGAGCGGGTCCCGTGGGAAGTCATGCCCTACTCTGCTCCTGTTTGCCGAGAGCAGCCATGCTGGGGAGCAGAAGTAAAGCGCTGCTCAGCTCTCCTATTCCTATGGCTGGAGTGTTCCTTGGGGCTTTTGTCACCTTGTCTGCTCCTTCTCATCCCCCCTTCCACAGAGCTGTCTGTGCTGGCACAGGCACGCGAGGCTGGGGCTGGTGGAGGTGAGGGATGGTTGCAAATAGGTTGGAAGCAATGGCCTGGGCACAGCACATGTGGACAGGCTTCATCTGTGTGAGGAGGGGAGGGAGCTGGTGTAGGGACTGATGTCAGCAGCCACTTCGCCAAAGCACCGCTTTGTTTATGAACTGCAGCCTTATGAACACTATAGTGGTGGGAGAAATGGGGGACAGTGGGGTGTGTGAAGGAGGAAACCCTGTGGGGAGCAGGAGACTGAAGCTGCAGCTGATTCTGTGGGTTGGATGAGGAGGCAGTGGCACCTGCTGCCACCAGCTCTGTGGACAGAGCCTTTTCAGGCTTGCAGTGCCTTAGCCACGGCAGCCCGCTGAGCACCACAGCCCTGTGTCAGGAGTGAGAGCTGGGATGTGGAGAGCGATGGCTGCAGTCACTGACCTCCCCTTCTCTCTCCTAGCCTGGTGTCAGCGAGTGACCGTGAGTCTCGTCTGGAGGAAGTGCGTTCTGCCTTTCTGGCAAGCTACAGCCGGACCATCGGCCTAAAGGCCGTGCCCCCCAGCCCCTCGGGGGCCATCGGTGGCCTCCTCGAGCAGTTTGCACGGGGCGTGGGACTGAGAGGCAGCAGCACCCTCTGAACACGGCGTTCCCAGACCACTGCCTGGAAAACTGGGGCTGGCATGTCCCCCAGCAGAGTCCTGGGACCCTCTCCTTGGTGCGGGCACCTGCTGCACCCAGCGCCCGCCACCAGCCCCCCCGCCTGGGGCTGGGGGGTGCGGGGTCTTCGGCGAGTCTCTGCAGTAAATGACCCGAGCTGTGCCCTCTCCTGCCTCCTCTCTGGGCTGCGGGCGGGGGCTGCGGGGGCGGCGCGGGGGAGCCGCTCACTATAAATAGCCCGGCCCACTCTTCGCGAGCGTCGGCACCGAAATAACACCGAGCCGAGCCCGGGAGGAAGCCCCCGGCGGGGCGGGATTCGGGCTGAGCCCCCTGTGCCCCTGACTGGGAATTGCGGGCGGGACGTTCCGGTGGAGCTGAGCGCCAGGAGCCGAACCCCCTGGTGCCCGGGTTGGTGCCACCGCTGCTGGCAGGGAAGGGCCGTCGTGCTCGAGCTGTGCCGAGCCGTGCCCGTGCCGTGCCCGCCCCCGGGCGCGCCTCCTCGGCGGCGCGGGAGGAGGCGGCGCGGAGCATCGGCGGCGCCCGGGCGGGGATGGCGGCTCCGGGAGCGCTGGAGCCGGCGGCCGGCAGCGTGCCGGGCACCAAGGTGGAGCTCACCGTGTCCTGCCGGTGAGCCGGGAGAGGGAGCGGGAGGGCGGCGGCTTGTCCGTGGACACGGGTGGGTGCGAAACGCACCGGGGTGCGCTGCGGGCTGCTCGCTGCGTCCCGGTGCCCGCCGCTCAGCCCCTGGCTCGAGGCGCTGTGAGCTGCGCGTCCTCCTCTCTCCCCGGGCAGCTCTCGGTGCCAGGGCGTATGCCCAGCGTCCCTCTGCCCTGCTGCTACCCGTCCCGTCCCTTTCCTGGGGTCCCGTGGGATGCTGTCACCGGGCACGGCTGCGAGAAGCGACCCGCTGCCCTCACCCGCGGCTGGGGCTCGGGACGGCCCCTCGCGGGGCGATGCTTGTGGGTGATGCTGGCGGGACGCGGGTGCCGGCGCTGGCTGCGAGCTCGGTGCAAGGCAACGGGACCGGGAACGTGGCAGCGGGATGTGGGCTGCGGGAAAGGGGCTGCTCTGTGCCCCAGCTTCTGGCCAGGGTCCGCCGATCAAGCGGTGGCAGCTGAGCCGGTCTGCCGGCGGCTAAATATAGCCCGTCGGAGGCACCGCTGCCGGTGGCCGGGGGTCCCGCCCGCAGGGACAGGCACAGCGTCCTGCCGGGGGGTAGCGTCCCCGTGCCGTGGGTCCTGTGGCACGGAGCGCCCCGACCAGGGTGGGCACCTCCAGCACATCCCCCACCTATGCAAACTCTGGGCCGGGCCGGGGGCTGCTGTGCCCTCCCCGCGGCTGAGCCCTGGCCACGCTGCCAGCTTCCCTCACAGAGGGACTGTGGGTCCCCGGGACCGGGCAGCTCCAGGCAGGGTCCGGGGGTCACACATGGAGACAACCCAGAGCAGCCTTTGGCTTCGCAGCCCGAGGACCCAGCCCAGACCAGGGCGGGGTCCCTCCCCTGCGTGCTGGGGCCAGGGGAGCTGGCTTAGCCCCGCAGCCCCCGGCCGTGCCCCAGCCCACCCTGTGCTGCCACCCCGGGGGAGCGGGAAGTATCCCAGCAGAGCCGGTAGCATCCCCCGGCACTTCCCGGTGTCACACCGCGCACAGGACGACGATCAATCGCTCTGCCGGTAGGTGTGTCGGGGGATGCCCACTGGCTGCTGAGCCCCTGCTCCGGCTGGGGCCAGGGGAGCTGGCTTAGCCCCGCAGCCCCCGGCCGTGCCCCAGCCCACCCTGTGCTGCCACCCCGGGGGAGCGGGAAGTATCCCAGCAGAGCCGGTAGCATCCCCCGGCACTTCCCGGTGTCACACCGCGCACAGGACGACGATCAATCGCTCTGCCGGTAGGTGTGTCGGGGGATGCCCACTGAGCCCCTGCTCCAAGTGTCTCCTTTCTTCTCACTTCTGCACCCTGCCATTAGCCAAGCTCCTGCTGCCGGGGCGCGGCGGGCACTCAGCCGGCGCCGGCGGCACCGGGGAAGGTTTCATCCTGTAAGTGGGTTCCCTGTCATGTTCAATCATCATCAGCGCTGGAGACGCTGCTCGCCGCTCTGCTGCCCCACCGAACCTTGCAGAGGGAGCCACTGTGTCTCCTTGGGAGTGCCGATGCTCTCATCCATGGGTGCCAGCACGGCCTTCTGGCGTGGTGCTGACCTGTGATCAGGGGGATGGACATGGGGACCCGTTGCTGGGCAGGTGGATGGCGCTCAGGTTGGCTCACGCCTGGCTCTTCCCCCAGGAACCTGCTGGACATGGACACCTTCTCCAAGTCCGACCCAGGTGGGTGGCAGAGCCGGGCAGGGGGCACGGCATGGCACAGACACGGCATGGCAGCCTGGCTCTGCTCCTCTCTCCGCAGTGGTGGTCCTCTTTGTGCAGGTCTCGGGGAGCAGCGAGTGGAAGGAGGTGAGCGTGGCCCCCTCTCCTGGCTAATCCCCGGCTGGGTTAAACGGGCCCATATGGCCGCCCGTGTCCACGCTAATGATCCGGCCCCGCCAGCAGCGCTAATCCCCCACCGGGATTAGCGCCGAGGCAGCTGCGATGGGGACGGGTCCTGGGGGGGCCACCCTCACCCCTCTCCCTGCAGTTCGGACGCACCGAGGTGATCGACAACACCCTGAACCCCGACTTTGTCCGCAAGTTCGTCCTCGACTACTACTTCGAGGAGAAGCAAAACCTCCGCTTCGATGTGTGAGTAGGGTGGCCAGGGAAGGGCTCGGCCCCGCTGGGGGCACAACAAAGCACCGAGTCGGTAATAAATAAGAATACAGTGTCGAATAGCACACATGGGTGGGGAAGCGGGGTTGTGTGCTGGAACATCCCTGCAGGCACCAGCTCAGGGTTCTGCTCTCCCACACCAGCTACAACGTGGACTCCAAGAGCTGCTCCGCTTTAAAGCAGGTGAGCACAGCCTGTGCCAGGGGGACACATAGTGACGCCATGGTGGGACACCCCGAGGCTGTGCCCTGTGTGGGTGCTGTCGAGGGGGGACAAGTGCCCCTCGGCAGGCTCTAACCTGCTCTCCATCTCTCCATGCCCCACGGGGACTGGCAGAAGGTAGGTGCCTGCCACACACCAGCCCTGCTCTGCCCTGGGAACCCTGAACCTGGGAGTGTCTGGTGGGGCAGGATGGGGTCAGGACACTCCATAGGGTTGGCTTTTGAGAGGTAAGATGGGTCTAGAGTGGTCCAAGGGATCCAGGACAGGTCAGGGCATGGAGGGCAGTTTGGGGGGACACAGGATGGGTCCAGGGATGTGGGCTGGCCCTGGAGGCACAGGATGAGTGTAAGGCACATGGAGCAGGCACCTGGGGTAGTCCTGGGGATGCACAATGGGTCCTGGGCTGCAAGGAGGCTCTTGGGTCACAGTGTCACTTCAGGAAACTTGGGGTAGCCCAGAGTCAAGTTGGTGGCAGGTCCCATGGGTGCATTGTGAGAGAAAGTGGTGGGTGTGGGTGGTAGGGGACTGGGGCAACTGCCCTCCATGGTCTCATAGTGCTTTGTTTGGGGCACAGGACTTCCTGGGGCAGGCATTTGTGGCACTGGGAGAGGTGATTGGGTCCCAGCGGGGACGCCTGGAGAGACCTTTAACGTGAGTCACACCGTGGTGAGGTGGGAGAGTCCCACACTGTGTCTCCACCACCTGCTCCACTGGACCTCTTCCTGCATGTCCTGTGCTGGGGATTCTGATCACACTGCCAAGCACCACCAACTGTGGCACAGAAACCCCAACCCTGACCTCTCCTCTTGTCCCTGAACTGTCCTCTTTGTCACCAAGCTGACTGTGTGCCTCTGGCTCCAGGGGGGTCCCAGGGAAGCGGTGTGGGACTATCTTGCTGCTGGCCGAGGAACTGAGCAACTGCCGGGTGAGTACCCGTGTACCAGCTGCAGTGTGGAGAGGGCTGCATGGCCCCTCAGTACAGAAACTGCTGGTGCCAGGGGTGAGGAGGTGGCTGGCAGTGACAGTCCCTGTCCCCAGGACATCGTCACAATGCAGCTGTGTGCCAACAAGCTGGATAAGAAGGACTTCTTTGGAAAATCCGATCCTTTCCTCGTCTTCTATCGTAGCAATGAGGATGGCACGTGAGCACAGGGACCCAGTGGGGCAGACAGGGTGCCAGCGTCACCTGGCGGCGTGGCCCAACCCTGCCCTGTCCCCCCAGCTTTACTATCTGCCATAAGACAGAGGTGGTGAAGAACACCCTGAACCCGGTGTGGCAGCCCTTCACCATCCCCGTGCGCGCCCTCTGCAACGGCGACTACGACCGGTACAGGAACGGGGATGGGACAGGGACACGGGCAGCCCTGGGGCCAGAGCTGGGTATGAGCAGCTCTTTGTGGGCTTGGCCCCGCAGTGGCAGTCAAACCAGAATTGGGTCTCGATTGGGTTTTTTTCTCTTTTGCAACCCAAATTACATAAAGGCATCCCCCTCCTTTCCAGAGCCCCCACCATGACCCAAATTTCCTGCTCGCTCCTGGCAGAGCCGCAGGCTGGGCAGGCAGGGCGGCTCTGCTGGAAGTTGGTGGGCAGGGTGCTCACTGCGGGTTGGGCTGTGGGCCTGGGTGTCCCCAAACCAGGGGCTGGAGGGGCTGTGCCAGCCTGGCAGGTGGCTCACCCACTGTGTGCCTTTACTTTCAGGACAGTGAAGATAGATGTGTACGACTGGGACCGGGATGGGAGGTGAGGGAAGGCGCACCTGGGTGCTGCTGAAGCTCCCCAGGGCACCTCTCTGCCAGTTGCCTGGCCATACTGACCCTGAGTTCCTCCTGCAGCCACGACTTCATTGGGGAATTTGCCACCAGCTACCGGGAGCTCTCTCGAGCACAGAGTCAGTTCACAGTGTATGAGGTAGGGTGGTGGGTCAGGGTGAGGGCAGGGTGCACTCCATGCTGGGACTCACTCACCCCTGTGCCTGCAGGTGCTGAATCCCAGGAAGAAATGCAAGAAGAAGAAATATGTGAATTCTGGCACTGTGAGTGGGGCTGGGGAGCTCCTGGGCCTCCTGCCTTCCAGGGGCTGGTGTGGCTCCACCTGCTGTGTGTGCCAGGTTCTGGGGACTCCAGATCTGATCCCCTGTGCTCACAGGTGACACTGCTCTCCTTCTCCGTTGAGTCTGAGTTCACCTTCGTTGACTACATACGGGGCGGGTGAGTGGGGGGCCGGGGGCCCCCCGGCTCCTCGAGAACCCCCATGGCTGAGTCTCGGGGCAAGGACAGTGGTGACAGTGAAGGTTCAGCCTGGGGGTCACAAGGGGCAGTGGGGCTGGGAAGTAGATGCAGAATGGTGGCAAGGGGCTGTGGGGTGCTGGCTGGGGAAGGGGGGCCGGGGCAGTGGGTCTGGGCAGGGAAACTCTGGCACTGTGGGGCTGGAAGGTGGCATCCCTGTGCCGTGGGGCCGGCAGCCTCCCTTGCTCTCCCTCTTAAGGACGCAGCTGAATTTCACTGTTGCCATTGACTTCACGGCCTCCAATGGTGAGTGCACTTGGTGTCTGGGAGGGTCCCCATCACCGTGGGGCTGGCCGTGGGGCGGGTGCAATGGGCACTGTGCTGCAGGGTTGCCATCACAGCCCACCTCGCTGCACTACGCGAGCCCCTACCAGCTGAGCGCCTATGCCCTGGCACTGAAGGCAGTGGGGGAAATCATCCAGGACTACGACAGTGACAAGCTCTTCCCTGCCTACGGCTTTGGTGCCAAAGTCCCACCTGACGGCAAGATCTCCCACCAGTTTCCTCTGGTGCGCCCTCCCCATGGGACAGGGCTGAGAGTGAACCCAGACCCCTGGCTGTGGGGCAGAGCTGGCCTTGGGAGTGCCCACAGCAGCTTGGCGGGGAGGGGAAGCACCCTGGCAACATTCTGCCCCAGTGTCCCACAGCCTGGGGGACAGCAGGAGCTGTGGTCCCCCACCAAGTGCCCCATCTCTATCCCCCAGAACAACAATGTGGAGAACCCCAGCTGTGCTGGCATTGAAGGCGTGCTGGAGTCCTACCTCCAGAGCCTGCGCACCGTCCAGCTCTATGGTCCTACCAACTTTGCTCCCGTCATCAACCAGGTGGCTGGGTGAGCACTGGGGTGCTGTCCCCTTTGCCATCCCCAAATGCCATCTGTCCCACAGCAGGGTCGACTGCCCTACACCAGTGGGGTGCTTGAGGGGCCCCATCCCTTTTCCCCATAGGATAGCTGCCCAGGTGACCGATGGCTCACAATATCACGTCCTGCTCATCATCACTGATGGTGTCATCTCTGACATGCTGCAGACCAAGGAAGCCATTGTCACTGTGAGTGCACCCTTGTTGCTCTGAGTTCACCTCATGTGGACACAATCCTGGCTAACACCTTGCCTCTGCTCCACAGGCTTCCTCCCTGCCCATGTCCATCATCATTGTGGGAGTAGGTCCAGCTGAGTTTGAGGGTGAGTTGGGACTTGGGGACACTGGGGAAGAGAGATAGAAACATTGTCCCTTCCTCTGGGATGCCAAAGACATCCAAAGGGCTGGTGTTTCCATCCCCGGTGTTCATCCCACCGAGGCTTGGTGACACCAGCTGTCACCCCCAGCCATGGAGGAGCTGGACGGTGACGAGGTACGGTTGTCTTCCCGGGGACGGTATGCTGAGAGGGACATTGTACAGGTAACTCTGGCATTGAATCCAGACCTGCCATGGGTGGGAGATGCTCAGTCCCCCTTGCTGAACCCCACAGCAATAGAGTTGTTTCCAACCTGACTGCAAACTTTTTGCCCTCAAAGTTTGTGCCATTTCGGGATTACGTGGACGACTCGGGCAACCAGGTGCTGAGCATGGCCCGCCTGGCCAAGGACGTGCTGGCTGAGATCCCTGAGCAGCTGCTCTCTTACATGAAGACCCGTGACATCAAGCCTCGCCGGGCAGATCCCGAGTAGCTCTTCCATGAGCCATGGGACTGACTGGTGGGGCGAGGATATGTCACCCTTTTTCTGCCGGTGGCCAGGGCTTAACGGAGATGTGACCACCGCATTAGGGAGATAATCAGCTGCTATGGTTGGTCAAAACAGGGCTGCAACCCGCTTCTGGCAGTGAGACCACAGGGCTGGACATCCTCGGCTGCCCCTTCCTCCGGCCCGATGTCCAGCAGCAGGGCGGGACTGTCCCTCGCCCGTGGCAGTGCGGGGGAGCACGGTGTGTGCGTGTCCCTGGAGAGCAGCCTGGCGTCTGCCCGGGGAGGCTGACCCTGAGTGCCTGCCGGGGGTCTCAGCCCCGCTGCTCCCTGGGGCAGCGGCCTCGCCCTGCTCCTGCCTGCGCCCCATTCCTGCCTGCACCCGCTCCCGCCTGCGCGCTCTCCTCCGGCTCCGCTAGCCCGCCTGCCCGGCCTGCCCAGGCCCTGCCCGCGGCCGGGGCTGCCGGGGCGGAGGGCAGGCGGGTCTCTACCGCGTTACCGACTGTAAATAAACTGCTCAACCGGGTCTGCTGCCGTGCTGGGGCTGGGGGAGCGGGGCGAGCAAGGGGCGCGGGAGGGCCGGTGGGGCGGGGAGCCCAGGGGGCCGAAGGTACCGGGGGCCGTGTAGCCGGGCCGGGAGAACCGGGAGGACCTTGGCAATTGGGGTGACCCGGGGGACGGAGAGGTCCGGAGGGAGCGGGAGGACCGAAAGGGTGCGGGGGGCGAGGGGCCCGGGCTGGGGCGGGGCCGGGCGGCGGCAGCGGGCTCTGTGATTCGAGGCGGCAGATTCGCCACCGTCATCGCCGCGCGACCCGGCCCGGCCCCGCCGTTCCCACGTGGCCTCCCCGCCCCGTCGCCGCCGCCGCCGCCGCCTTCCCCGTCCCCTCCGTCCTCGCCGCCGCCGGTCCTGCCCGGTGCTGCTGCCCGGCGGTGCCGTGGCGAAAGTGCGGTTGCTAAGGGCGGCGCGGCGCTTTACCCAGCGGCCGCCCCGCGCCAGGCGCCGCCGCAGCTCCATTGTTGGGGCCGGCCCGGGCCCGGCCTCGGCCCCCCGCGGCCCCGCCATGGGCGTAGATTTCGACGTGAAGACCTTCTGCCACAACCTGCGGGCCACCAAGCCGCCCTACGAGTGCCCGGTGGGCACTTGCCGCAAGATCTACAAGAGCTACAGCGGGATCGAGTACCACCTGTACCACTATGACCACGACAACCCGCCGCTGCCCCAGCACACCCCCCTGCGCAAGCACAAGAAGAAGGGGCGCCAGGCCCGCGCCGCCAACAAGCAGTCGCCCAGCCCCTCCGAGACCTCCCAGTCGCCCGGCCGAGAGGTGATGACCTACGCCCAGGCCCAGCGCATGGTGGAAGTGGACCTGCATGGCCGCGTCCACCGCATCAGCATCTTCGATAATCTCGACGTGGTGTCCGAGGACGAGGATGTTCCCGAGGAGGTGCCCGAGAATGGGAGCAATAAGGAGAACACGGAGACGCAGAGCGTCCCGCCCAAATCTGGGAAGCACAAGAACAAGGAGAAGCGCAAGGACTCCAACCACCATCACCACAACGCCTCGGCCAGCACTACCCCCAAGCTGCCCGAGGTGGTGTACCGAGAGCTGGAGCAGGACACCCCTGACGCCCCGCCTCGTCCCACCTCGTACTACAGGTATTGTCCCTGGCTGGGTGCGAGGAGACACCCAGGCTCATGCCCTGGGTTTGGAGGCGGAATTGGCCCCATTCTGTTTAAGTGGCTTGCCCGTGGCTACTGGAAATGGCCTTTGTCTGCCTCTCCCAGGTCTCACAGAACTGACCGTTCCATGGATTCAGGTTCCTGGGGCTCTGCCTTGTGTCACCACAGTTCTGAGGGGTCTGTGCATCTACAGAGCTCTCAGTTGCTGCTTAGGTCATTGCCAGAAGTTTGATTGCTGTGCTCTTTCCTTGCTGGAACAGCACCTAAAATCAAAACAAAACCCAAATTTGTCCTTTTGCCTCTCATTCTCTCTTTGGAGGTATGCTGGGATATTTTCAGAGCTCTTCAGCACCAAGGTGTACCTGTAGCATCCATCTGTTTGTGGGCATACTTCTTAATTGTTTTCTTACAGTACTTTGTGAGAGATTTGGTGGATGCAGTGGCCCCAGTTAATACCTCAGGCAGGAGTTAACAGAGCCCCATGATCAGAATTAATGAAACATGGCACCTCCATGCATGGTTATTGTGTCTTGGTCATGAGGCTGTTGCCTCCAGAGCACTGGCACTTGCTGGGTGGCCCATGCAGGCCCCCTCCTTGCACTGATGGTCTCCAAGGCCTGACCTTGCTCCTTAGACCAGAGTTGTTTTGTCTCCAAGCTGCTGTTGTTCTGCTCTGCTAGTCAGGGTGCAGCAGCACCTTCCGCTTCTGCACATTCCTGCTTTGTCCCTGTTTCTTTATTTTGACTTAGAGCTCATCTGGAGCATTTGAACATTCCCTCAGTCACAGAGAAGTCCTGGAGCTGAGGCTCAGCAGCTCCAGACGTGTCAAACATGCCCTTACTTTCCCATGCTGTCCTTCCAGGTACATTGAGAAGTCGGCAGAGGAGCTGGATGAGGAGGTGGAGTACGACATGGATGAGGAGGATTACATCTGGCTGGACATCATGAACGAGAGGCGGAAGAACGAAGGCGTGAGTCCTATTCCCCAGGAGATCTTTGAGTACCTGATGGACCGGCTGGAGAAGGAGTCCTACTTCGAGAGCCACAACAAGGGGGACCCAAACGCCTTGGTGGATGAGGATGCCGTCTGCTGCATCTGCAACGACGGGGAGTGTCAGAACAGCAACGTCATCCTCTTCTGCGACATGTGCAACCTGGCCGTGCACCAGGAGTGCTACGGGGTGCCCTACATCCCCGAGGGACAGTGGCTCTGCAGACGCTGCCTGCAGTCACCCTCGCGCGCTGTGGACTGCGCCCTCTGCCCAAACAAGGGGGGGGCCTTCAAGCAGACGGACGATGGGCGCTGGGCACACGTGGTCTGTGCCCTCTGGATCCCGGAGGTGTGCTTTGCCAACACCGTCTTCCTGGAGCCCATCGACAGCATCGAGCACATCCCGCCCGCGCGCTGGAAGCTGACCTGTTACATTTGCAAGCAGCGTGGCTCTGGGGCTTGCATCCAGTGTCACAAAGCCAATTGCTACACTGCCTTCCATGTCACCTGTGCCCAGCAGGCCGGGCTGTACATGAAGATGGAGCCCGTCAGGGAGACGGGTGCCAATGGTACCTCCTTCAGCGTGCGCAAAACCGCCTACTGCGACATCCACACGCCGCCAGGCTCCGTGCGCAGGCTTCCCGCCCTCTCCCACAGTGAGGGGGAAGAGGAGGATGAGGAGGAAGAGGAGGAGGGGAAGGGCTGGAGTTCTGAGAAAGTCAAAAAGGCAAAAGCCAAGTCGAGGATCAAGATGAAGAAGGCGCGGAAGATCCTGGCAGAGAAACGAGCTGCAGCGCCTGTGGTTTCTGTGCCCTGCATCCCACCCCACAGGTACGACCTGCTGCCCTCCCTGGGCTGGGGAGAAATTTCTCCTTTCCTCCATGTTTTGTGTCCTGCTTCCCATGTGGGCATTATCCTATTCCCCTTCTTAGCTTTTTGCAGAGGTACTTCTCACTTTTTTGCCTCAGAGGGCTGCGGTGGTTTCCTCTGGGAGTCCTGCAGGGAGGCAGGGCCATGCACTGCCCCGCAGAGGTGTCTGGGCCCTCGGCAGGGCAGGAAATAGCTGCTGTTAGTTTAACAGTAGAGAATGAACTTGGCCGGATGCATCAGGAAGCAGCTGGAGGTTCCCAGCCCTCCCTTCCTGTTGCGCTGACCTCAGGCACTGGAGTAAACGAGGCGGGGAGGAGGGAGCTGCTCTCCTTTCTGCTGAGGTCTGTTTTCTCCTGAGGCTGTGTCCTTTTGCTGTCAGGCAAAAGACAGAAGTGTGGGAGTGATTCAGGCCTGGGAAATGGGCTAATCCTGGAGTTATTTTGGCTCTGGAGCAGAGAGGTCTGCAGTGGGGATCCCTGTGCTCTGCTGGGCAGAGCTCATCCATCCCAGCAGCCACGTACTGCTTGCTGGGCTTCCTCAGTGCTGTCTGCCAGGCACAGCAGCAGCTGCTCCTTCTTGGCGCTGCCTGCTGGAGCAGGGCCGGGCAGCCACGGGTGCTGAAAGCTGTCTGTGAGGAGGGGTGGCTGGAGAGCACCAGGGCTCCTGCCTGCCAAGGAACACCGCGCTCCTGAGGCTGACTCCCCAGTGTGAGGCCTCACCAGGGGTTATGTTTCTGTCACATTCCAAACCTGTGGTTTCATGGGAAGGTGCAAACACTCTGTAGTTACAGTTGCAACTGCTTTATGCCTTGACTTGTTAGATTGTTGGGCTGGCGTGCAAATCCCAAAACAAGAGCATCTAAAAGCCTTGCCAGAATTTGTCAGTGTAGTTTATGACTCTGGATGTCCTCAGCAGCATGTAAAAGCACATAAGGGCATCTTAGGATGTTTTTGGATCTCATTGTCACCCTGCAGCAGGCAACACCCAGTTGAGCACAGGTTGGGCTTGGAAGCATTTACCTTTGTGGTGGTGAGCCACCAACCCTGAGCTTCTGAGCTCTCCTTCCTGTGGCAGGAGCTGTGCTGGGGCTGTGACCATAGGACACTGTCAAAACCCTCAGACCCTCAAGACTTATCTCCTGTGCACTTGGAAAGGAGCACATGGAAGCCATGGGCTATGCTCTCTGGGCAGCATTCTGGTAACGTGGGGAGGCAGGTCTGCCACAAGGCTTCTGGCTTTTTACCACGGTCTGTTTGTGTCCCAGACTTACGTTTTTGCTCACTCAGGGCTTGCTCCATAGCAAGAGCCTCTTTTCTTATGTGGGAACATGCTGGCAGGCAGTTTGTAGGGTCTTGCTGCTATTGCATTCACAGCAAAACCTACACTGTGCTAGAATCCTGTTGGGATTAATTAATTCTTCAGGGGCTGAATGCCACATGTCTTCCTGTGGGAGCTGTGCTTGGCCAGTGATGGCATATGAGGCAGCTGTCCCCAGTCTCCAGCTGAGGCTGATGCAGGTTGGGTCATCCCTTGGGAAGAGCTGTCCCTGGAAGATGGGGAGATGCTGAAGGTTCATCCCTTTGTCACTCTACTAGCAGGGCATCTCTGCTGAAGGAGGCTGTCCCAGCCCTTCCAGACTATCTGCTGTTGAAGGAAGTGAGCAATCCCTTTTGTGGTGTTCTGAGCTGTTCAGGATAGTCTTGGATGGGATGTCTGTTGTACTCATGCCTCCTGCTCCCTCCTCGTGCTTTGCCAGGGTTTGAGTTTCTCTGGTAGCTCCATCACAGCAAGTGGCCCTCAGCCAGGTAAATAATGGTTTTGGGGTAGTAGCATCATAACACTTGTGGTCTCAGGGACCATGGGAGCTGTTAAAGGTCCAGCCCCAGTGTGGCTGTCTTGCACCCCAACCTGCCCCAGGCTTTGCCCAAAAGTTGACAGGAGGTGGAAAAGAAAAGTGTGTTATGGAGGGGCAAGGCTGCACATT